ACCCTAAGCCGCTAAAACCCTAAACCCCTAAACCCCTAAAACCCCTAAACCCCTAAACCCCTAAACCCCTAAACCCCTAAACCCCTAAACCCCTAAACCCCTAAACTCCAAACCCTAAACCATACACCCTAAACCCCTAAACCCTAAACTCCTAAACCCTAAACCCCTAAACCCTAAACCCCCAACTGTCCAAGCAGCTTCATCTCTTTGGCCAGACGCTTCCGCTCTTTGCCCTCGGCGTTCTAGGGCTTTAGGGATTTGGGGGTTCAGGGGTTTAGGGTTTGGAGGTTTAAGGTTTAGGTTTTAGGGTTGAAAGGTTAAGGGTTTAGGGTTTGAAGGTTAAGGGTTTAGGGGTTTGGGGTTCAGGGATTTGGTAGTTTCACTAAACAAAATCTCGGCACGCTTTTTACTCTGCGCTAGCTGTACTCATCCGCTTGCAGAGCTACCAGGAATCCTCTTCTAGCATCCATCCAGCTGGTATAGCCGGGAACCTGCAAGACAAGTACTGAACACCAGTGACCTTGGCGAAGAACGTGGGTGTGGCGGGCGGGCAGAAGTTCTGAGCCAGCGCAACGTACATGTACCTCGATTTTATTGCCCAAAATCTTGGCACGCCTTTTACTCTGCGCTAGCTGTACTCATCCGCTTGCATAGCTACCAGGAATCCTCTTCTAGCATCCATCCAGCTGGTATAGCCGGGAACCTGCAAGACAAGTACTGAACACCCATCTCACCCAAAGATACCATTGCAAGCGGCATCGTTACCAAGCCAAAGCTTATACCAAATGTCCGTGGGGATCGCGTTCCGGGTCCAGGACACTGCTTGCTCAAGAACTCGGGGAAAGCTTTGAGCAAACATCATCACTCGCTGTCTGACTGCAAAGGGCAGGGACGGGAAAAAGGTCGACGCCGCCACTTCTTGAAGATATATTTCCATAACCTTCGGCGACACCCATCGCCCGCGGCGATGGACAAGTTCGGCGTCCTCAGTTTGCTGCAAAAGAAAGGTTGCACCACCCGGGCGAAAGGAGCCAAGATCTAGTGGTCGATGATGGTCCTTCGCTGTAGGTACGCCGAGCCGTTCCAAAACTGAGTCGAGACGCTTTCGAAGGGTCTGTGCACCAAGAAGGGGAAAGGTGTGCGAAAGCAGCGTCGATCAGGTGGACAAGGTCAGCCGGTTCGACCTTGGCCGCCTGATGCCTGGCCGCTCGGAGACGGGTCTTTGGCTCACGAATCCGTAAAAGTATGAAGGCCTGTGTCCAGAGTACATCCCTTGGCAGGATGAGGCAGGAGCGTGTGGCCTGAGTCGCCTCCCCAATTCGGAGGAGACCGCCCCACGCTAAGGCAAAAACCCCTGCTTCAGCACGCCATCCCCAGATCAGGCAGCAGGTCAGCAGAGCCATCAGAATGACCGGGGGCATGGCCACATGATGGGACGAGGGTTCGAGGGCCAACCATGTGAACGCGATGTCCCATGCTCCCTGTAACTGTCGACGGACCGTAGACCTCCGAGACGAAATGGCGTTTATCGTCTCCGCATAATAGTGATAAGGCATTCCTGCCCCGAACAGTTCTCTGCCGTACTCGGTCAAGAGGCCGACAAGGGCTTCCACTCGTGGCCTCAGAGGAAAGCACGAGCTCAAGCGAAGAACTCCTGTCCTTCAGCCACAGGTCAAACCTCTGCAAGAACTTGGCCCGGCTGAGGGCAGTCTTTTGTAGCACTGGCCTGCCATCGGGCAGCTCAACGCCTGCACGGGCTGACTGCCGGACCAAGTCTTGCCTGTTCCTTGGAGCAAGTGGGGGGCCTTCCCCACGGAAGCCCAGGCTGGCATCGAAGTCGGCAAAAGGAGCGTGGTGCTCCTCGCGGGCCGGACGCAGGCGCATGCAGTCAGGGGAGCTGGGGAGGTTCCTGAACGGGAGTGTGAGGGTCCTAAAAAAAGGAAAGGGGAAACCCTATCAGACTAGACCCGTACACTAAGAGGGTGGCAAGCCTAACCCAACCGGAAGAGGCGGAGGAGAGACCTGTGAAGGTCAGCAGGGCTCTGAGGTCACTCAGGTCGAGGGAGATTGAGTGGACCCGCGCCGGAGGGACACTTCTCTGGTAGGATCGTCGGCAATATTAAGCCTGGTTGGCGCATGCTGCAACCCTAAATAGACACCTCCTGCGGCGAGGTACGCGGCGGCCTGGCATAACACAGGGCGCAGCAGGCGCGATGTACTTCTCCCCTTTCCCAGCGCTCCTCGAGCCACCGAAGAATCAAGTAGAAGAAGCAACTTCCTGTCGCCGCCTGCACGGACAGCGCCTTTGATGACCTCAAGGGCAGCCTTTGCCTCTAGCACATTTATGTGCGCAGCAGAAGGTCGTTGCACAGCACAGATTCAAGCCCAGGTTTTGGGAGGGAATCACAAACCGGCGGGGCTGTGATAGCAAGTGCAATCACCCGGGCGAAGGCAGCGGCAACACGTGGGTGATAAATTGCACTCTCCTTAGTTATCCGTCCCTCAATGCGCACATGCACATGGCGCCCTGGGCACTTCCTGTGTATGAGCTCAAGCTGCAGAAGGTGGCCCAGCAAGGCAAACTCCTTTCGGTAGGGGGCCCCGTATGCACAGGAAGCAAGCCAGTTCTCGCTCACGCCGGGAATCCTAAGGATCCAGCGCCATATGCTAAGCCACCTCATCTTGGAAAGCCGAGGCTGTTCGAGGAGAGCCGGAACCCGGCATCTGACCGCAACCAAGAACAAGGTGAAGCAGGCGAAGGCTGTGGAGTTGCCAGCTAAAGTTTTAGGGTGGGACCTATCAAACCCTAGGGTGCAGCTATAGGATCGGACAGAGGGGTGCGCGGCCGGACTAAAAGTAGTGCATGGAGGCTCAAGCACAATTGATCTGAGGCGCTTCTCCCACAGGAGGTGGCAGAGCCATTCGACAACTCTAGAAGAAGTAATGTCATACTGCTCAGACCTGGTGAGGTCAATGACAGGGCCTGTGTGGAACCCCCTGCACTGAAGGGCCACGCTGACGCCCCCGCCCCGCCACAGACTTCAATGCAGTGCTTGCTCCGCCTCATCAGAGAGGAGCTGATGCTGGGGCGCGGGCTCCTGACTCCCTGCTTTCGTCAGAAAGCTGTAGCGCCCCTTGAAGTCGGAGGCGAGCCAAAGGCGGAGACCCAGATCAGGGGCTATTTGCTTAGAGCACACCGCTCCTTTGGCCATGGAAGCATCGGACGCAAAGACATCAGTTGGAGGGTCGGCCGAGGCATTAGTGCAGATGACGGGACACAGTGTTGCAAGGAGCTGCAGCTCAGACGCGACCCGCCTTGGGAGCGGGCGCGCCTTGCTCCCAAAAGCGGGCCCCTCAGCCTTGCTACCTAAGGCGAAAAGCTTGTCCAGGCACGACATGAGGCAGCGGCGGTACATCAGGCATGACACCCAGGAACCGCACAACATGGAGGCGAGCTCTTCGCTGATGACAGGCAAGGAGGCGGCACACAATGAAGCTGCTGCGAGGGCAAGCCTTTTGACTGCCGGAAAGCCAACGACGGTGGCACCGTCCTTAACTGTTTCGCCTGAGGAGTCGACTTCTGCCCCTGCCACCTTGAAAACCCGGCGGCTCGAGGCCCAGGCTTAAATCGTCGTCTTTTATTTGCCCATCCCATGGCCCTTCTGGTTCGACAAGGTGCTTGCTCTGCAGCCTCCCCTTTCCTTCTTGGAGGAGCCCTGCCTCCTGGAGAAGGCCTTCATGGCCCGCTGTGGCAAATTCTATTCCGCCGGCATTTCCCTGAAAGAGTGCCTTGAAGGTGGGGTGCACAGGAGAGTTGGCCTGGCAAAGCAGGGCGCTACGAGGCACAGCCAAAAAGTCACCCTTAGTCCTGGGGCGCCTCTTCTCCTCCGCCTGAGCTGCAAGGAACTGAGCATAGGCGACAGTGCCCTCAAAGTCGGAAAGCCGGAAGGAGCAAGGGGCCGGTGGGGAGCCAGCGCGAGGGCCCAAGGACCCGAGCCTCGAGAGAGTTGGCCCTCTGGCGGTCGCCTATCTGACGCTGCTTGCCTTGGGCCCTTGTAGGCCCCAAAAACTCTAGTGAGTTGGCGCTCAGGAAGCGGGCCACGGGTGAGTCCCAGAAGGCCGTGCCTGTCCCACACTCTTGCCAGCTTAAGCAGTTCCGACCTATCCTCCTTCAGGCTCAACATAAGGCATGTAGAGCTCAGGGCTTCAGGTCTTCGAGGCCCCACTCTACGTGGGGAATAGTGGCGCCCTCCCCGGTCGAGGGGCCATCTGTGGCATACACGCCGAGAGACAAGCCGGAACGGCTCATGAAACGAAGGATTTTTTTTAGCTGCAAGGCAGTGTGAAGGCCCTTCCTGCCTGTACATGCAGGAACCGCGCCTGTGTGGCGGCTACACGCCCTGACGAGCACACCTATCCGTGCATGTGGCCTCCGCAGACTTCTGAGGGAAACATGCTTACCTCCGGCATGCAAGTAAGTAGTTTAGCGCCATGGCGACATAGTGCACACACTTCAGCCGGAAAGGTCGCGGGCACGCTGATCGAAGATGCCTGGGTACGGCAAAGGCAGCGGAAAGAGAGCGATGGGGACTGCGCGCAGACAGTCCCTGCGCAGAGTAAGCGTTGAAAGAAGAAAGTGGGAAAACTGGGTCCGAGCGGCCTTCAAAAGCCTCGGCAAGGAGGAGACCCAGGAGCAAAAGCTGAATTCAGAGTCAAAGTCCAGCCCCTGAGCAGGAGCGGCGGCAGAAGCTTCCCCGGAGAGGCGGGGGAAGGCAGGCGAGAAGAATTGGCTCGGCTCAGGGCTGGCTGCGCGGCATGCATCATCACGCGCCCGGCGGGGCCGTGGAAACACGGGTTTAGGGCCACCATGGGTGGAAGACACGGGTTTGGGAGAAGGGGACTTACAGTGACCTTGCCGGCAAGGCGAGCACATGGTCTCCAATTCCTTTATGTAGGCCAAAGCAACTGTCACCCACCTCTGCTCCGCCAAAGGAGAGAAGCTCTGCAGACTTGACCCAGGCAGGGTGCTTGGCGGCTGGAACAGCCGCAGTGAGTCTCCGCCTGCAACGTCAGCAACCAACCTAGCTACCCTTGTCTTGGGACGTCTGGTCCAGCATTAGGAGGAGGAGCCCTAGGACGTCCTTTGCTCCTGACACCTGATCGGCCTCCAGTAAGTCCAAGCACTGCGCCACCTGCCATGCCACAAGACATGCCACAAGAATTAGGGTCTGCTGACTTGCAAAGCCGCCGCGCCGTTCTAGGAAGCGCATATAGCTCACCTGATCGGGCCGAAGGAGGCCAGTGGGGTCCATGTTCGAGACATGTTCAGGCGAACCGCCTGTGCAAAAGACCCGCTTCGGCTCAGGAGTTCGGACTGCAGCTTCGCCCGACCTACCGAGCCCCCAACAGAAGACCCCAGGCCCGGCTGGACCTCGAGGAGGGGATCTGCAGACCCCGGGCCATCTGGTTGACAAGGCTTACAAGTGCTTGGCTCTGGGCCATGACCGCTGAAGCCAGAACTGAATCTGAAGGCCCTTTGAAGCTCGCCGCTTCCAATGCACTGTGCCAGATGGGCGTCTCGGTCGGGCTGATGGGATGCAGCTGGCGGCTGAGTCCTCACAGGCGGCGGTCCTCCTAAGACACTTGCTAGGCTCTTCAAGGGAGCCGCACTTAGGGGCTGTTGCAGAAGCTTGGCCGTTGGATTTGCAGAAGGCAGCCCAGGCGGAGCCGTCTGAGGCAGAGCTTGTGGCTCTTGCGCCTTGGTGAGCGCGTCCAGTCGGTTCGTGATGGCCGTCATCAAGTCCATCATGGCGACCTGTTGGTTTGCCAACTGCTGGACAGCATCCCCTTCCCTGAAGACATAAAGGCCGGCGGCACTCAGGTCTGCAGGCATCAGGGCCGACACAAGGCTCTCCGAAAGGTCCACTATCACTGCCGGAACCGGCTCCAGGAGGGCAGGCACTTCCCATTCTCCGCCGGCACTCAGGGCCACGGGTGTTGCCTCTAAGGTGCAGGAAGGACCTATGCCCTCTAGCGGGGTGGCTTGCTGCCCTTGCTCCAACTCCTCTGCTGTCAAGAAGCCTTCCGGAACACAAAGGAGGAACCCCTGCACCCGGAGCATGACCACATACCCCAGGCATTGGTAACTCTCTTGTTCAGGGGACGGAGGCGGCCACGTAAACTCAAGCACATTAACAGTGCCAGACTCGGCTGCAACCAACGCTGCAAAGTCCATCTCAGCGAGTCAGCTGGGTCGGGTAAGGGACTTGCGCTGCAGAGAAGTACACCCGGCACTCGGATGTGGAAGGAAAGGCGTGTGAGATGGATTGGCCAAGGTCCAGGCCCACAGTGCGCCGGTAGGCAGTTGCCGAGGCACAAACCACAGGACTTGGGAGATTGGCTGCCCTCAAGACGCAGTAGAAGCGGTTCTGCTGGCCTAAGGGGGGACTAGGGTCAGGTCTACTAACTTCACCCCTAAGGACGGAACCAGCCCAGCAGCCCGCTACCCAGGCTCGCTCTGCACGCCCGCTGGGCCCAAGCTCGCACACTGTCAAGCCTCGACACAATGCAACGCAGGTATCAGGAACAGGCGGAAAGCTCAGTGCAAGGCGCTGCCTGGCTTCGAACCGGGGCTCCGACCGGAGCCTGGCAAGGGGTACTCAGGCACAGACGAATCTGAGGAACGACGTGGGGGAGTAGCTGGTGCAGTGGAAGCCCTTGCTGGCTCAGACACGGGGATGCTTGGGGATGACAGGCTCAGGCACAAGGGAGAATGCAGAGGAACTTGCCGAAGGGGAAACGGCCCCACTCGTTGCCTCAAGATGAGGCTGCAGCACAGTGCCCCTAGTATTCGACCCACTAAGCCTAATGGACAACCCTTGAATACGGAGAGTAAGGTCCCACACGTCCGGGTCCTCCCCGCTCATGCACGGTACCCCTCTAAGCGTAGCCTACCTCTCGGGCCCGGCGCTCTCTGGACGCCCTGCTCCGTGCGGGGATGTATAACCAGGTTGTAGAAGCGAGTCAGGACCCAATAAGCTGCCCAAAGCCCACAGCAAAAACCAGATATAATCCCTGTCAGGAAAGCAGCAAAGGTGAAGCCCAAAGTAGGTTGTGTGCAGTACAGCGGACAGCCAAAACCCCACAGGTTCGAAGTGGCACCTGAATGGAATAAGTGCAACCAGTCCAGAAGCTCAGGGACCATGAACCCTCACTTTCAGAAGTTCTGAGCCAGCGCAACGTACATGTACCTCGATTTTACTGCCCAGGGGGGGACCCCCAAAAAAGTTACCCCTAATCTTGAAAAAAAACTTTGGGGGGTTGAAGGGTTGAAGGCTCAGGGTTTAGGGTTGAGGGCTCGGGCGGTAGGAGTTGCCAAGGGGGATTTTTCAAATCTCACCCTCAACACTTCAATCTTGTATTATGATGTATTGTAGTATACATCAATATATATCTATATATATATATATTATTGTAGACAAAAAAACAGCCGGCCTGCAAGAGTTTGGGGTTTAGGGTTCCTCCAGGACTTGAAGCCTCGCAAGCATCAAACTAACTGCAAGGCATTTTGAGCTGAAACCTTGGACTACAGTTGGAGTTGGCAATCCTTGGGAGAAGTGGTTCCTGAATCCGTGAACTTGGAGTCTGAACCCAACCCCGAAACTTGAAACCCGACGGAAATAAACACTTCATCAAACCCCTACCCCCTAAACCCTAACCCTAACCCCCTCCAGGATCCCCCGCCCAAGACCCCCCCTTCTCTAAGGAGCAGTGGTATGTACTGTAATCATGCCAACACCGAGCGGGGATTAGGGTGGTTCAGGGTTTAGGGTTTAGGATTTACAGTAGCAACCCTAGATTGTCCATATCCACCTTCTTCGAAACCACAGTCGGTAGAAGGGCCGTTTGGCGACAGGGTCATGCCCAGACTCAATATGAGACTATGCCTTTCACACGGTCATGAACTAAGCCCCTAACCTACAGCAAGAATACCTGAAACGCCGAGGCGAAACCACATGTGAACGCTACGAAAACCATGAATGGTCCTACCACGCCAGGTTGGTACCCTTGCACAGGGCTTATGCAAGGCATATGTAGGACACTGGCGAGTATAAGGGGCATGTAAGGCTCTAAGGTTTATATGGGGGAAACTGACAAACTGGCATTTCCGTATCCAATCCCCTGGTTCCGTAAATGCCCTTACCCAAACCTTAAAGCTCTCCTCCTAACAAGCATGCAAGGCTCAAACCCCAACCCCAAACCGCGTGGGGCTTAGGGTTGAGGGCTCAAGGTTCAAACCCAAGCCCTAGCCATCTCGGGCTTCAGGGTAGGGCTCAGATCTCAAAGTTTTGGGTTTTATCATTAGGGTTTAGGGTTTAGGGTTGATAAGTTTTAGGGTTCTTTGGGTTTAGGCAATACCGGCTACAATAGCGGATCCTGAATGACTGCGGAGGACTGCCGGTCGTTTTGGGCGGTCCCTTTCTAGAGTTGAGTGGTTGTTTTTGCGATTAGTTGGGGCTTATCCTCCCCCGCTTTGAAATGAAAAGCAAAAAAGCCCTACGAAGACTACTGTCCACCAAAAGACCGATGGGAG